CCCCCCCTGATGTCTCCTCTCTGCCCGCAGGTTCCCCTCCTCGCTGTGCGTGGGGCTGGGCCAGGTGAGTGGGTCCCCCCTTGTCCCATCCCATCCTGTCCCCCTTGACCCCCTCCCATGTGGGGGGGCCGTCGGGCTGACCCCCAGTTTCTTGCAGATGCTGGCGACGGTGGCGGTGCTGTGGGCGGGCAAGGCGCTGCGGGTAGTCAAGTTCCCTGACCTCGACAGACATGTCCCCCGGCGGGTAAGCCCCCCTCCCCGGGCACCTAGCCCCCTCCCTGGGCACCTCTTCTCTGCCCCAAGGCTGGGCAGTGGTCTGTGCCCCAGCCCCTCGTCCCCCATGGGCACTGCAGGCTTTCTGGGATGCCCGTGCTCGTTGCGCCAGGAGCCACACAGCCACGGAGCAGCTCTGGGCTGAGGAGCTGGGACACGTGTGTGTGTGTGAACGTTTGCATCGCGGGGTGGAAATAATTTCATTTCTATTTATAAAATGGGGGTGCTGCTGGGGAGCTGACTCTGGTCACTCACGGTGCATTATCCGTTTTCTAACTTTCTAGACGTTTCCTCTACCTCTTCTGTACTTCGGTAACCAGATCACGGGACTGTTCAGCACAAAGAAACTGAAGTATGGATGGCTTTTGTACACCGGGGGGGTACAACAGGGTCCTTGGTGGGGGGGTCTGGTGTTTATGGGGAGCTGCTGCCAGGCCCTTGCAGGGGTGTGGGTGACCTGAGCAAGAGCCACTCGGGGCAATACAGTTTGTCCTCTGCCCACGCTAAAACAAGCCACGTGTGTGTTTCCGAACGCTTTCCCCCAGCCAGAGGGTAGGGAGGGACGTGAATCTGGCCCTCGCCAACTATGGGTGAGGGTTTGGGGCTGCTCTCGGGGACCCCCCCACCCATAAGATAGACCTTTTTGGGTTTGGGAGTGACACCGTTTCCATAAGGGAACTGGCAGGCTCACCGATGGCTCTGTTCTCCGGAGCCCTTACCCAGCACCCGCTCAGATGGGTGGCCACAGAGCAGCGTTTTGGCAGCGCTGGGGTGGGGACGACACCCTTTCACAAAAACCTTCCATTTCCAGCCTGCCGATGTTCACCGTCCTGCGAAGGTTTTCCATCCTGTTTACCATGTTTGCCGAAGGATTCTTACTCAAGTGAGTTTTTCCATCCCCTTCTCTCCAGGGCTCTCGGTGACAGATACTGGTTAGAGTTATAAAACTCTGAAGGTGTTGGAATGATGTGCGGTGTTGTCTGAGCTTTTGTGTGTTGGAGAGCTGCGTGGTCAGAGGTTTTGGCTCTGAGCTGGGTTTTAGGGAACGAGGGTGGGCGGAGGAAGCGGATACAGAGGAGCAGCAGCGTGTTACTTGCCTTGATCTGCCCAGCCCTTTTCCCCGCTGCCTCTCGGCCTGCCTGGAGGGAGCCAGAGTGAGACGAGGTGCCAGGCGTTGCTGCCAGGCATGGGGGAAGGTGGATGTGCTCTGTCCCTGCTTGCAGCAGCCTGGCTGTGCAGCACAGCTCTGGAAGCAGAGGGTGTTGTGCCTGTCTGCGTCTCCCCCACCTGGGCACCCGCAGAGTCCCTAAAACTGCTTCGCATCTTGCTTTTACTTGTTGCTTTTGCACGAGTTGGCTTCCTTGGGGTTTTCTCCCACCGGCTCTGTGTGTGCTGGGAGGGAAAGGCTTCTCCCTGCTGCACCCCAGGGTGCTCACAGTGAGGATCTAACTGTGGGTGACGGTGGTGTCCTCCTGCCTCTCTTTTCAGGAAGAAGTTTTCTTGGAGTATTCAGATGACAGTATTTGCCATGATCATCGGTGCGTTCGTAGCTGCTAGGTGAGCTCCTGGTTTGCTGGCCCCGCTCCCGTGTCTCTGAAGGGTCCCTGCGTGGGCCAGCCAGCAAAGCGAAGGTGAATCAAGTACCACGGTGTGTCCCAAGAAGAGAGAAAGTAAATGCTGTCTTTTTATCTTACCCTCAGACATGCTCTCTAGTAGGAAAGAATGTTTTCCCGACACAAATCCCTGTCCCTCTGCCCATGATTAACTTTTTCTGACAACTTCCTGGCTAAGCAGAAGGTGGAAGGAATCTTGCAAGTCTTACGCTCTGCACAGCTTAAAACTTTAACTTACGTTTTTTTTCCTTTCCCAGTGCTGACTTGGCATTCGATCTGGAAGGATATATTTTCATCCTTATTAACGACGCCTTAACAGCTGCAAACGGTGCCTACGTGAAACAGAAGCTGGATTCGAAGGTAGGCTGACCTTCGGCTTCCTTCTGGGCATCGCAGCCTTGTGCTTGCTTCGGCAGCACCACGCACCTGAGTGGGCGAAGGGGTGAGGCTCGCCTGGTGCTACCCCGTCCCTCTCCCAAAAGCTCCTGTCCGGAAGTTTTGGCAATTCTGCTGTGCTGCTCTCGGTGCCGGTGTTGCCAAATGGAGCCATGTCCCCTGGGCCGGTTACGACCACAGTCCCTTGTGACAGCAAAGAAATGGTGTTTTGATTGATGGTGACCATAAAGCCCGTTGCAAGCTGGTTGCCTGAGTCTGTTTTAGATATGTATATATGCACATATATTAATACATATTTTAAAAAATATATGAAATCATAAATATTTACGTGTGTATGTGTGTATATATATATATACACACACACACATATATAAAACCCACCACCCTTCAACTTTGCTGTCTCTGAGAATCCCACATGGGTTTAGCTCACAAGACCCAGTGTTCAGTAGCAATATGAATAAGGTTTTATGTTCCTGTTTGGAGCCAACTTAAGTACACAGATGTTTCTTATTTCCAGGAGCTGGGAAAATACGGTCTGCTCTATTACAATGCACTGTTTATGATCCTTCCCACCTTGACCATTGCCTACTTCACCGGAGATGCACAGAAGGTAGGATTCTTGTCCCCAAAAGTGTATCTTTATTGGCACGATACCTGATGGGTGGAATGGTTTGGTTAGAAGAAAGTTCTACTGGTCATTACAATGCACTTTCCTGTAACATAGCCATCTTGCGTAAAATGGGAAATACTCAAAATGGGAAACTCTAAAGGAGTTCATTATCCCCAATTGGCAAATATGAACGACTCGGCATCTGAGGGAGGAGGTTAGGGTGAAGGGTGGTAGAGTAGCTGCCCCAAAACCACGTAAGCAGAAGCTAACTGTAAGTCTTACGTTGGGCTTTAAATCCGCAGAATTGCTCCATTCAAGCGTTTTTGTAATGCTTCTGGAATGGGGAAGTGCGAGAGCATTAAGTGAAACCAAATTATTATTTAAAACAGAGAAGTCGAGTGTTTTTAGAATAAATGAGTTTCTTCAAACCTCTGTCTGTCCTTCCCTCTTGCTGGGGCCATTATTATGTGAGTCGGTTTGCCCGTCCTGCCCCATCAGGGCGCAACGTGATTTACATGCGGTTCTGTATATGTGAAACTTCTATTTTGTTACTATTATTGCACTCCCTTACATGCAGCTATACTCGCTTGGCTCTCCTGAGCAAGGGCGCTCTCTTTTCACGTCTGCACACACAGGCACCCCTCTCCGTGGGCAGGGAGGGCAGATGTCAAAGGTTGGAGGTGTTGCCTCCCCCATGGGTGACAGCTGTGGGTGCCGGTGGCCCCAGAAGACACCCCTGTTGTGTGTCACCCCCCCGGTGGCTTTTTTCCTCATTAGGAGCTTACTGCCCTGCTGACGAACCCCAGTAAGCCGTCACTAAGATAATGAGCTGTGATTAGCGTGGAGAAGTGATTGCACGGGGTGAGGGGAGCTCAGACCCTGCCCTTCAGGAAGGGTGACTCGGTGGGATGTATTTGGGGATAAAGTGCTCGTTTATAAGCAGGAGCTGGCAGACAGGGAGCAAAATGTTGCTCTGTGCTGCACTGTGCAGCCTCTGTTCAGCCTGTGGACAAATTGCCTCTTTTTTTGCCTTTTTTTTTTTTTTTCATTTTTCCCTGAATAAACTTCTTTTTCCCTGGCTGAGCTCCTGGCAGCCAGAGGCAGACAAAGATGCGCTCTGTTGGGGTTGCTGCCAGGAAACTCCACCTTTGCAGCCTGATGAAAAACCCTCTTGTGAAGGGCGTGCAGCTGAACGTGTCTGGCGTGGGGATGGCTCCTGGGGCAGAGCTGGGATGGGGGGGGCTGCATCGTGGGGGGCCGTGCTGGAGGGAAAAGGGGTGGTTTTGCATAGGAAAACCTCCCACAATACTCGTGCGTGTGGATGTGTTAAATCTTGTAGTTCATTAACAAGCGTCAAAAGTAACGATGCCTTGTCATGCCACGCTTTGTGAGAGGCAGAAATGGGTTTGCTGACAGTGGTGAGCAAATCCCTGCACATAATTCCTGGCGGCGAAGGGGGTGGGCTGCCTGCCCCCCAGGATGGCATTTTGGAAAAGCACCATCCCAGCTGCCTGGCAGGATCCCCATGTGCTTGGCAGCCCTTCTATCCCTGTGCCAGTCCCTACCTCGCTGGGAGGGGAGGTGGGGGGGACCAGCTATTGCCTTGTTGTGCCCTTGCCTCCTCACTGCATCACCGACTGCTGGGGGTTGGCAGGGACCTCTGGAGCTCAGCTGGTCCAGCCCCCTAGAGCTGGTGGCCCAGGACCACGTACGGTTGGGTTCTGGGTATCTCCAGGGAGGGACACTCCACCAGCTCCCTGGTGGTGCTCGGTCACCCTGACAGTGAAAAAGTGCCTTCTGATGTACAGAGGGACCCTCGTGCGTGTCAGTGTGTGCCCATGGCCCCTGGTCCTGGTGCTGGGCACCACTGGAAGAGCCTGGCTGTGTCCCCTCGGCACCCTCACTGCAGGGGAGAGCCCCCCTCCCCGAGCGGGCGGCGGGTCCCCAGCCTCTCCTCGCCAGCGAGATGCTCCAGTCCCTTCAGCATCTCGTGGCCCTTTTCTGGACTCTCTTCAATGTGTCCCTGTCTCTCTTGCACTGGGAAGCTGAGAGCACCGGACCAAGCACTCCAGGGGTGGCCTCACCAGCACTGAGCAGAGGGGAAGGACCCTCTCTCAACCTGCTGCCAGGATGCTGTTCCCCTTCTTTGCGGCAAGGGCACATTGCTGGCTCGTGTTCAGCGCGGTGTCCACAGGGACCCCAGGGCTGTTCTGTAGAGCTGCTTCCCAGCTGGGTGCCCCCAGCACATCCTGGACAATCACCGGCTGGGAAATGCCCTTCTCGGTTCCTCCTGCTTGTAGGACTGTTACTTGCTGCTTTTCCTTCTGACCTGTGTCCCCAGCCTGGCCGGCAGCACCACCCTCTGGCCTCCCTCCCTGTCCCCCCTCCAAACCATCTCCTGCTGCTGGAGTTTGTCCTCGGAGTCATTCCCTAGACCTGCAGCTGGCAAAAATGTATTCAGCTGCATGGAGTGTAACTTTAAAACAAGCAAGCACACAAAAAAGCCAAGGAAAAAGCTCCTACCATGAAATCCCCTGTCTCTAGAGGTTCAGTTCCCCAGGATGTGCTGTCTGAGTGTTGCAGTTTGCAATGGAGGGATTGCAAGAGGGTGATTCTGGACAATCACCGGCTGGGAAATGCCCTTC